AGATGTCACTTGTGACATCATTGCTTACTACGTGTGAAATCTGTGAATGATCACAGAGGTCATATGGTACAAGGCTATTCACAACAGTCTTGTACCATGTGACAAGCTGTGACCAATCACAGCTCACACAGTAGTTCTCAATGGCTGCAAGAATGCAGCCAGAGAGAAGGAGAAATTATTGCTTTTACAGCCTTTATGGGTGTAAAAGAAATCAGTGTAAAAAAAAAAAAAATCTTCATCACTCCCCACAAGTAGTACAGTGTCACCATGGTGACACTGTACTGCTAGGGTGACAGTATGTAAAAAAAAAAAAAAAAAACAATAATATAAAAAAAAAATTAAAAATGTAAAAAAAAATGTTTTAAAAATTATAATTTTTGGTTATAAGCTAATTTGGGTTATTTTTTTTTTTACTAAAGACAGAATAAATTTTGGCCAAGATTTATGATGAAATATTATTTATTTACAAAACTTTATAAGAAAAAACACTTTTCAAAATTTTTGGACTTTTTCATTTACATAGCAAAAAAATAAAAATCCCAGCGGTGAATAAATACCACCAAAATAAAGCTTTATCTGTCTAAAAAATGCTAAAAAATTAACATGGGTACAGTGTCGCATGACCGCGCAATTGTCATTCAAAGTGTGATAGCACTGAAAGCTGAAAATTGGCCTGGACAGGAAGGGGGTAAAAGTGTCCGGACTTGAAGTGGTTAATAAACTTGCGCTCTCCGGTTTTAGTAAATCAACCCCATAGTTTGCATTCACTTTTTACAAAATGTCTGAATTTCTGGAATTCAGCTTTAAAACCACTACCTTTTGTTGCTGTTTGTATAGTTAAAAGACATAAAAATTAATGTGCTTTGGGGTTCTAATCTTTTCCCTACTCCAATCAAACTAAAACATCATTTTTTTTTTTAATTCTAAGAGTTTTTTTAGTATTGAAAAGGGCACGAAATAACATCAATGCTGACAAAGACATGCACTTATTTGTACATATTCAGTCAGGAACAGATAAGACAAACATACACAGATGGTATACATAGGCAATAAGTAATTAAATTGCTGAAGACAACTAAAATCAGAAACCTAATTACAGACTAGACATGTGCAGAATGAAAAAATGTGTTTCATTTCTTTTCGTATCGATTCATCAAGTTACTAATTTTGTTTCATTGCATTCGTAACAAAATTTCTTTCATTTTGCTTATTCGTTTTTGACTGGATTCCATTTTTTTCCAGTGGATTTGACGTACTGTATTTGAATAGAATTCGAATTGAAAATATCTGATTCTAAATCATTGTGAAGAATAGCTGGTTCTATCCTATTTGAAAATGTAATTTCGGAACACGTCCATATTCTATTTTATTCAGTTCTAATTCAATTTATTTTTCTCTATAGTATTCTATTCTTTTATTTTCTATTATTTTCTACTCCTATTCTTTTTTTTTTTTTTATATACTTTCTATTCTGTTTTCTTTATTACCTATTCTTTTATTTTCTACTCTATTCTTTTCGAAATTAAAATTTCAGAATACGGCTATATTCTATTTTATTCTATTCTATTGAAGTCAATTCTGTTTTTTCTATTCTTTCCTTTTCCATTCTATTTTCCTTTATTTTCTATTCTTTTATTTTTTCTATTCTATTATTTTCTTTTCTATTCTGTTTTATTCTATTCTCATCTTTTTGAATTTTGTAAGATGACTATATTCTAATAAACAGTCTTTGAAGGAAATCAGCAATATGTTTACATTTTTAATTTGATGTAGAATTAAATTTTGTTTTTGAATTTGTTTCGAATTCTATTTGAATTTTGTCTCGTTATTTTGGACTCATTTAAATTCAATATTGTTTTAATTCAGAAATTCAGATACATACAAATCTCTGAATAATGAAAATTTTGTCAGAATTTTAATTTGGAATGAAACAAATCGCACATGTCTGTGTGCAAGAATAAGCATAAAACACTATAGAAAAACCTATATATTTAGAATATAATTGGTTGAGAAACTTAAACCAAAACTCACCATCTCAAATACAGGAAATATTTGGACATATCTCAGATCAAAAAGCAGTATATGGTATTGAAAACTGAGTACATTGAATCTAAACACACAGTATAAGCCCCTGTTCAAAAGTTGTGTATTAACCAGTACTAAAAGCGATAACCCCGAGCAACACTCGAGATTACACTGCAGCGATCTCTCGAGCCTTACCTGCCATGATCCTGCAAGGTCCTCCCTCTGTGTCCCCCCGGCCATGTCCGCCGGCCGATGTCGGCATCCGTCTTCCGTTTTCCGTTCCCTGCGAACGTCGGGATGTACGGAGGGCGGAACCAGTGGGAGATTCAAAAAAGTAAAAATTTTACATAATTAATATTAATGGTCAGGTGCAATGCTTTGGCCAATCAAAGCATAGGATGACGTTACAAGGGGACAGGGTGAACCCCACCCCCTTATGGCATCATGACAGTATTTAAGAACTGTCATTGGGGACGCAGCTGTCAGATGGCGGGAGCCAGCATTGCCAGCAAGGCGTTTTTTTTTTTCTTTCTTCGGGTAGCAGCGGCGGCGGGCATCGTGACTGACCTTGGATCTACTTCAGGCGACATTCCACAACCACTGGCAAGGGTTGTGGGGAAGAGGCCCTTGTCTCCATCAACATGGGGACAAGGTAATTAGGGGGGGAGCCCCCCTGCCCCAAAACACCCCCCATGTTGAGGGTGTGTGGCCTGGTATAGTTCGGGAGTGCGCTCGCTCATCCCCCCCTTTCCTGACCTGCCAGGATGCATGCTCGGATAAGGGTCTGGTATGGATGGGAGGGGAGACCCCCACGCCATTTTTTAAAAAAGATGTTGGCGTGGGGGTTCCCCTCACCATTTTTATAAAAATGTTTAAATGCCGACAATTCATTTTACATTCAGCTGTCAGCGGGGAACCCCACTGACAGCTGAAACATGAATGAATGTTTCACTACTAAAATATTGCATGACTTAATAATATAACTCATGCGGTATTTATTACCTGAGCGGTATCTTACCACATACTCAGACTTGGTAAGATACCGCTCAGTAAATTGTTTGTGTTCTAAGTTCATGGTCGAACATACTGTAGGTTCGGATGTTCGACCACGAACCAAATGGGGGTGTTCAGCCCATCACTAATGTACAATTCTTATAATGTATAGCTCAACATTATGCATTATCCTTGTCAAATTACATTAGCAGTTCATTGTGTATTGTGTTTTTATTCAGAAGGCAAGCGCTTAGGCTTTTTTGGCTGCACCCCCAGATCAGACAAGCTATACTGTATTGCATCCCCCCCTCGCTTTCTCCTGCCCCCCCCCCCCCCTTCCCCTGCAGCTCTGCCAGGTTCCCCCTCCCATCTCCCTCCCTGCTGCAGGGGGTGTGTCAGGATGGAGAGCAGTGAAGGGGCTTGTAAATGTGCTATTTACCATCTCCTTCCTTGCCTGAATGAAGAGAGTCCATCATCGGCAACTGTGTTTATTATGTTTCAGTGTGTGAATGAATGGGAAGCTCTGCACAGAGCTATTCCTGTCCATTCATTCTGTACTGCTGAGGTTTCAGAGATGGAGATTGAAGGCTGTGTCTTCAATCTCCTTTCTCTGTCTCAAAAGTGAAACCCAGAGGACCAAAGCCCCCAAAAGGGTTCCTAAAAAAACAAAAAAAATGTAAAAAAATAATACTGTAAGAAAAATAAAATAGAATGGTGAAAAAAAAAAATTACTGACACCAGTGGCAGAACTACCAGGGTTACAAAGGTTGCACTTGCGACCTAGCCCTGGCATTCCGCCATCGGGCTCGCACCAGGGCTCTAAAGATTATAGTTATTCCTTTAGAGTGATGTAGAACAAATGTTTTTAAGGGTAGTGCTGTGATATTTGTGAAAGGGAATAAATAATTGCATGCATATAAGATGAAAAAAACCTACAGATTTTTAGCATGCATGGTCCTAAGATATAAAATATATCTGATGCTGGCTCACTTTAAATTGATCAAACATTTTGGCTAATATATTGAGTGTCATAACTTTTATTTTATCCCATATAACTGTTCTATCCATTAAAACTGTGTATTCATCAAAGCATCTTATATTTGCAGCGCTCCTAAAGTTTGAACCTTTATCAAAGTCAATGTATATCAAGTATTCCCTGGTATGAGTCGACTTTCCTCCAGTAACCCTTGACATAGAATTATTTCAAGTACCATGTAATTGTGTGTAAAAGTTTTGCAAACAACCTTCATATTTGAAAAATACTTGCTGATATCTGTTTCATAGGTATATTATAATATGGTGCATTATTAGTTATAATGAAGTAACTGTAAGAAGCAGAAGTACTTATGTAGACCCAGCAGAACATGTACCACTAGCCTGAGAACAAATATAATACACAGTGTGAGACCCTATAGCAGTGATGGCGAACCTTTTTGAGCCCGAGTGCCCAAACTGCAACACAAAACAAAACCAACTTTTTTATTTCAAAGTGCCAACACTGCAATTAATCACTTGCCTACCGGGCACTTCTACCCCCTTCCTGCCCAGGACAATTTTCAGCTTTTGCTTTCAGTGCTGTTGCACTTAACAAAGACAATTGTGCGGTCATGCAACACTGTAACCATATGCAATTTTTATAATTTTTTCACACAAATAGAGCTTTTTTTTTGGTGGTATTTAATCACCACTGGGTGTTTTATTTTTTGCACTATAAATGAAAAAAGAGCAAAAAATTAAAAAACATAAAAGGTTTCCTTTGCTTCTATTCTAAAATTTTGCAAACAGGTAATATTTCTCCTTTGATGTGCGTTGGTGAGGCTGCACTGATAGGCAGCACTGATGGGCATTGATGAGGCGGCACAGATAGGCAGCACTGATGAGGCGGCACTGGTGAGCATTGATGAGGAGGCTCTGATGATGCACTGACACTGTATGCAGGAAATGATGGGCACTGATAAGCGGCACTGACAGCCAACTGGAGGCACTGACAGACGGCACTGACCGGCGGCACTGCTGGGCATCATTGATGGGTGGCACTGATGGGCAGCACTAATGAGGTGTCACAGATAGGTGGCACTGATAGGCGACACTGATAATGGGTACTGATAGACAGCACTGATAGGTGGCACTGACTGACATCACTGCTGGGCACTGACTGGCACAACCGCTGGGCACTGACTGGTGGCACTGACTGGCAGCACTGCTGGGCTGCACTGATGGGCACTGGTGGGTGGCACTGGTGGGCACAGGTGGGCACTGGTGGGTGCATTGCTGGGCACATTGGGCGCACTGTTGGGCACAGGTGGGTGCATTGCTGGGCACAGGTGGGCGCACTGCTGGGCATAGGTGGGCGCATTGCTGGGCACAGGTGGGCACACTGCTGGGCACAGGTGGGCGCATTGCTGGGCACAAGTGGGCGGAACTTGTGTGTGGCACAGGTGGGCACCGATCATCAGGGCACTGATGATCTCAGTGACCCTGATGATCGGTGCCGATCCCTGTTCTGACAATTGCCGGTTTTCGGCAGTACTTTCCTCACGATCTGACAGCGTGAGGAAAGTGCAGCTGAGAACCGGCATTTGCATTTCCCGGAGATCAGCGTGTCATTGGACACGGCTGATAACGTGGTAAAAGGCCGCTGTGATTGGCCTTTTACCATGTCACGTGATCAGCTGATCCGCAGGACACAGCGATCACGGAGATCGCCCGGTGCGCGCCCCCGAAGGTGCGCAGGAGAGCGCGTTCTCTTCCTCTTCCTCTCTTCCTCCTGGCGTGCCCACTGAGATGGCTCTGCGTGCCAGCTCTGGCACGCGTGCCATAGGTTCGCCATCACTGCCCTATAGCATGTGAAAGCAGCACCACCTGCTGGTCAGGAAAGAACAATCACAGGGAGTTTTTCACATTGCAGCTAGGTGGAAATGTAGTACTGTGCACCCTCCAGAGCACACAGGTACACAGCGGAATCTGACACACTGACAGGCCATGGATGGTTAAAGTTGTATGAGTGTCACTGGTCTCTGATTGCCACTTTCCAGGTTCCAATTCTGTGTTTTTTTTCATGATATTAGAGTACCCCTTTGCCCCCTGGAGAAGAATAAACTGTATCTGATGAGGATACTGACGATACCAGGACAGGTAAGGAGTATTGCTACTGGTAGAGTAGTTGCAGGATAATGTTATTGTTTCTCCAATTTCTCCAAAAAGATGCAGGTCTGCTGAGTTTATAGTATCACCATGGACAGAACCTGCAACAGAATAACAAATATTAGGCCAAATGTATTTCTTTACATCTATTTACATATACAGTACCGGTATCATTAAATATGAAAAATGTAATTCTGCAATTGGTATATTATGAATACATTTGACTTACTTGATAAATAAAGTATCAGCAAGGAGGTAACTAATACAGATGGGATAAAGCTGATCATTGTCTCTGAATGTACAACATACAAGATTGCTGTGTGACTGATGTGTACCGATGAGGATCCTTCTGAGCTCCTTGATGTATAGTAATGTGGGAAGGATGTGACAGTAACACAAATATCACTGACACCAACACACCCCCATGTTGTATGAAGACAGGAACTGGTTGACATGAAAAAACATCAACCTGGCGTATTACTATTCACAAAGATAAGAGTATTGCATGAATATGTTATTGGACAGTTTAGTGCAGGGGTCCTCAAATGTTTTAAACAGGGGCCAGTTCACTGACCTTCACACTGTTGGGGGGCCGGACTATAGTTTGATAAAAAAAATTAACAAATTCCTATGCACAACGCACATATCTTATTTGTGTAAAAAAAAAAAACAGGAAAAAAAAACAATATTTTAAATGCACTGTACACTGTAACGCACTTGACACCGCAATCAACTGTACACTGTCACACTGTAACGCACTTGACACCGCAATCAACTGTACACTGTAACACTGTAACGCACTTGACACCGCAATCAACTGTACACTGTCACACTGTAACGCACTTGACACCGCAATCAACTGTACACTGTCACACTGTAACGCACTTGACACCGCAATCAACTGTACACTGTCACACTGTAACGCACTTGACACCGCAATCAACTGTACACTGTCACACTGTAACGCACTTGACACCGCAATCAACTGTACACTGTCACACTGTAACGCACTTGACACCGCAATCAACTGTACACTGTCACACTGTAACGCACTTGACACCGCAATCAACTGTACACTGTACACACTGTAACGCACTTGACACCGCAATCAACTGTACACTGTCACACTGTAACGCACTTGACACCGCAATCAACTGTACACTGTAACGCACTTGACTGTCACACTGTAACGCACTTGACACCGCAATCAACTGTACACTGTCACACTGTAACGCACTTGACACCGCAATCAACTGTACACTGTCACACTGTAACGCACTTGACACCGCGCAATCAACTTGACACACTGTCACTGTACACTGTAACGCACTTGACACCGCAATCAACTGTACACTTCACACTGTAACGCACTTGACACCGCAATCAACACTGTCACACTGTAACGCACTTGACACCGCAATCAACACTGTCACACTGTAACGCACTTGACACCGCAATCAACTGTACACTGTCACACTGTAACGCACTTGACACCGCAATCAACTGTACACTGTCACACTGTAACGCACTTGACACCGCAATCAACTGTACACTGTCACACAACGCACTTGACACCGCAATCAACTGTACACTGTCACACTGTAACGCACTTGACACCGCAATCAACTGTACACTGTCACACTGTAACGCACTTGACACCGCAATCAACTGTACACTGTAACACTGTAACGCACTTGACACCGCAATCAACTGTACACTGTCACACTGTAACGCACTTGACACCGCAATCAACTGTACACTGTAACACTGTAACGCACTTGACACCACAATCAACTGTACACTGTCACACTGTAACGCACTTGACACCGCAATCAACTGTACACTGTCACACTGTAACGCACTTGACACCGCAACTGTCACACAACTGTGACACTGCAATCAACTGTCACACTGTAACGCACTTGACACCGCAATCAACTGTACACTGTGACACCGCAACACTGTAACGCACTTGACACCGCAATCAACTGTACACTGTCACACTGTAACGCACTTGACACCGCAATCAACTGTACACTGTCACACTGTAACGCACTTGACACCGCAATCAACTGTACACTGTCACACTGTAACGCACTTGACACCGCAATCAACTGTACACTGTCACACTGTAACACACTTGACACTGCAATCAACTGTACACTGTAACACTGTAACGCACTTGACACCGCAATCAACTGTGTACTGTTACATACTTGACACTGCAATCAACTGTACACACTGTAACGCACTTGACACCGCAATGCACTGTACACTCTAATGCACTTGACACCACAATGCACTGTACTTTGTAACGCACTTGACACGCACAATGCACTGTACTCTGTAATGCACTTGACACCACAATACACTGTACTACTGTAATGCACTTGACACCACAATACACTGTACTCTGTAATGCACTTGACACCACAATGCACTGTACACTGTAACGCACTTGACACCACTGTACAATGCACTGCACTGTACTCTGTAACGCACTTGACACCACAATGCACTGTACACTGTAATGCACTTGACACCACAATGCACTGTACTTTGTAACGCACTTGACACCACAATGCACTGTACTCTGTAACGCACTTGACACCACAATGCACTGTACACTGTAATGCACTTGACACCACAATGACACTGCAATCACTGTACCCTGTAACGCACTTGACACACCAACAATGCACTGTACTCTGTAACGCACTTGACACCACAATGCACTGTACCTGTAACGCACTTGACACCACAATGCACTGTACTCTGTAACGCACTTGACACCACAATGCACTGTACACTGTAACGCACTTGACACCACAATGCACTGTACACTGTAACGCACTTGACACCCACAATGCACTGTACTGTAACGCACTTGACACCACAACTGTACACTGTACACTGTAACGCACTGTAACGCACTTGACACCACAATGCACACTGTACACTGTAACGCACTTGACACCGCACTCCACTGTACTCTGTAACGCACTTCACACCGCAATGCACTGTACTCTGTAATGCACTTGACACCGCAATGCACTGTACTCTGTAATGCACTTGACACCGCAATGCACTGTACTCTGTAACGCACTGGACACCGCAAGGTACTGTACACTGACACATTGGACACCGCAATGCACTGTACACTGTAACGCACTGGACACCAAAATGCACTGTACACTGACACACTGGACACCGCAATGCACTGTACACTGTAACATACTGGACACTGCAATGCACTGTACACTGTAATGCACTGGACACCAAAATGCACTGTACAGTGACTTAGTGGTAACATATGAAACGTGTCATTATTGTCAAAACCATTTGCACATATACACCTCAAATGTAGCAGGTTACTAAATGGGTGACCACAGTGATATGGTGTTAGCACATCAATAAATAAAGTGAATAAACATTGGTATACTATGTCATATGTAGTGACTAATGGTGTGCAAAGTGCCAGAAAAGCTAATCCAAAATCTAGTCCAAAGATAAGGTGTGTGGGAGATCGTGATGATCCAATAAGGTGGTGATAAATCTCAGGTTCTAAAGACTGCGCACTCACCAGATACGCAATCAGTCTGCGCATTTAGAGATAACAATCGCAGAGAACTGGAGGTCCCTTTAATGTCTGCTAAGGTCTGGTATCCTTCACTATCCGACATCCGCTGCCAGTAATGGTGCACCCCGCTCTGTGGATGGTTATAGCTCCCGAGGAGCCCCAAAAAGAGGAGGCCAATAGCGTGATATCGTTTAAAAGAGGGT